CGGTTCTGTCCCGCGGCGACCGCGGCGCGCGCTTCGCCGCCGAGGCGGACCCGGACGACGCCCCCGAGGAAGCGGTGGTGTTCCCCGAGTCGCCGCTGCAGAGAGCCACGGTGCTGGTGGTCGTCCTGGCCCGCAACGCCGCGCACACGCTGCCGCGCTTCCTCGGCTGCCTGGAGCGGCTGGACTACCCCAAGAGCAGGATGGCCATCTGGTGAGCGCGCGCGGCCCCGGGCCGGCTGGGGGGAGGCGGGAGGCGCCGGCGGGGGGCGCGCTCCGCGGGAGGGACCCCCGGGCTACGCACCCTCTGCGGTCGGCGCGGCTCCTGCGCGCGTTTGGCCGCTGGGTAGCGCAGTGCGAGCGGGCCTGTGGGTGCCCGCGCTGTTAAAATGCCAAAAATCAACCTGCCTTTCCAAGGAGTGAGTGAATTGGGGTGGCCCTGTCCCTCCCCCCGCAAGAACCTTTTGGCGACCGCGAGAGAGCTAGCTTCTCTCCGTTTCGACTCTAGAAGTTTCCTTTCCGCGCACCTCACACTCCCACCAAGAGTGCATGGGAAAGGATGCCTGTCCCCGCTTTCTCTGACGCGCCCAAGAACGTGGCTGCAGCTAGTGAGGGCGATTTGGGGGTGCTTGGAGAGGCAAAGGGTACAGGGCCTCGGCTTCGGGTTGCCTGGCACCTGGTCCTGCCCAGAGGTGGCAGGAGCCGCTTCTCCAGCCCCCCCCCCCCCCCCCCCCCCCCTCCCAGGACCAAGGAGGCGGAGAGGCAGACTCAGGAGTAGGGGTTGGGATGACCCCACATGGTCTTCCTAACAGCCCTTCAAGGTGGGATGTGTCTCTGCGCTCCCAGCTGACTCTGCTGGTGCTTTCTGGGGCGCTTTAGATGCAAGTCACCCGAATTCTAAGTCCTGGAACGCAACGGAGTCGCCTCTGGAACGGGAAAGGGACACGTTTTGATGCTAAGCATGTTAAGCATGTTTTAAGCATGTTAAGCATATTTTAAGCATGCCTGAGTGATGATTGTAAGGATGGAACCCGGGGCCTGGTGCCTGTATTTGCTGCAGGGACAGCTCCGTGTCTATCGTGGAGGTGGCTGCCTGCTCAGTCAGAACTGGTCCAGCCCCGCCCCTTTCATAAACGCAGAGACTGACCGGTGAGAAGTCGGATGAACCACTAAGGAGTGTGTGGGGGAGGCGGTGGACGTTGGCCAGGGGAGCTGGGCTCTCAGGAACCTGGATAAGAGGATTCCAGTCACTTGAGATGCCCGAAGTCACCTCTGACCAGTTTCTATCTTGCATTGATAAGGAGAGTAAACTGTCCCCAGAGGAGACATGCTGAGACAAGGATTGGGCAGAGAGAGGGAAGGAGGGGGAAAGCCGCGGCTGGAGCTGGTGAGCCTACTGGTACCTGGTGGCAGAGGCACAGAGGTGCGAAAGTAAACACGTTATACTGCAGCTCTGTGAGCTGCTCTACTATAAACGCTGCTATACGTGACTGCTGCCACGCAGAAGGGCACATTATGTGGAGAGCAGCAGCACAGCCAGGTTTTAAACCAGAGGGAGGGGTGGTTATTTTTAACCACTTCCATACCAAAAGAAAATTTCACAAATGCCAAGTTATCTAAGAGATGAGTTGCTGTTTTCAAATCCGATGTTTAAAAATTGGTCTTTATGCACTGTTGAGTTAAAACAAAACAAAAAAATCAGTGCAGTTGTGTCAGTGGAGCCAGATTCTGACTCACAGTGACTCCTGTACACAGGGAAACCTGCCCAGGCCTCAGCCATGCTGCCACTCATTGCTGCATGTGGACCCATGGTTACAGCCACTGGTCACTCTGTCCTGCCCCTTTTCGCTGGCCTTCTACTCATCAAGCATGATGTCTTCCTCCGGACTGGTCCCTCCTGATGTCATGTCCAAAGTACGAGAGACAAGAAGATTCCCCATCTTCATTTCTAAGGAGCTTTGTGGCTGTACTTCTTTCCCTCCCCTGGCAGTTCATGGTATATTACATTTTATACAGCATTGCAATAGTTCATGTGAGGAGCCGCAGTGGGGAGGGGTCATGAAGCAGGCACAGCGTTTACTAGTTGCTTATCATACATATACACAGTCTTTTATCATGCAGTAAACTTTTTTTCTACTTTAAAATACCCTTAAGTCTTTGATTTAATATACAGTAAACTTTTAGGAGACATATATAATCCTTATTTTACAAATGAAGAAAAGACCTAGATCATTTCAATAACTCACATATGGTCTCAGAAATAATAAGTGACAAAGCTGGAAGTTAAACTTGTTTGTCCCTAAAAAGCAATACTTCAAACTCCCAGTCATTGAGTCAATGCCGATTCGTAGCGACTGGATAGGACAGGGTAGGACTGCCCCTGTAAGTTTCTGAAACTGTAACTATTTATGGGAATAGAAAGCCCATCTTTCTCCTGAGTAGCTGCTGGTAAGGTTTCGAACTGCTGACCTTGCAGATCGCAGCCCAACTCATGACCACTGTGCCAACAGATGGTGATGGGAAAATTAAAGATACAAAACTTAAGTATATTTATAACCACAATAGAAGGTTAGGGTTGTCTGTCACTAACTAAATATGTAATATGGGGCTGGTGCTTAGGATCTATAGACTTAGGTTTATTCATCATAAAGTGGTGAATTGGAATAAGCAACTTCGAAAGTTCTTTCTGACTCTTAAATTCTATAGATTAGGTGATATGATCAGAATCAATCACCAATCGGCTATCAAAAGATATAGCATCTGGAGTCTTAAAGGCTTGAAGATAACAAGCGGCCATCTAGCTGAGAAGCCACAAAACCCACATGGAAGAAGCACACAGCCTGGCTGATCATGAGGTGCCAATGGGATCAGGTATCAGGCATCAAAGACCCAGAACAAAATCATGCACAATGTGAATGGGGGTGTGGGGTGTGGAGTGGAGACCCAAAACCCATCTGTAGACAATTGGACATCCCCTCATAGAAGGGTCACAAGGAAGAGATGAGCCAGTCAGGGTGCAGTATAGCACCGATGAAACACACAACTTTCCTCTAGTTCCTAATGCTTCTTTTCCCCCACTATCATGACCTCAATTCTAAATTACAAATCGGATTAAACCAGAACATGCACACTGCTATAGATAAGAGCCCACAACACAGAGAATCCAGGATAGATAAACCCCTCAGGGTCAACAATGAGAATAGAGATACCAGGAGAATAAGGGGAAGATGGTGGGGGGGGGGGAGAAAGGGGAAATCAATCACAAGGATCAATATATAACCCCTTCCCAGGGGGATGAACAACAGAAAAGTGGGTGAAGGGCAACAGAAGATGATGTAATATATAAAAATAATAATCTATAACTTATCAAGGGCTTGTGAGAGAGGGTTGGGGAGGAAGGGTTAAAACGAGGGGCTGATATCAAGGGCTCAAGTAGAAAGAAAATGCTTTGGAGATGATGGCAGCATGTGTACAAATGTGCTTGACATAATGGATGATTGTGTGGATTGTGATGAGATGTGATAAGAGATTGTGATAAGGGAAAAGAGCCCCTAGTAAAAGTATTTAAGTAAATAAATAAATAAAAAATATATATATACCAATAAGGAAAAAAAAAGAATCAATCACCAATGAATGTGCACTGAAGGCATTGACAGCAAACAGGCTCCATGAAGTGATCGCTTACCAATTGAGATGTTTCAGCAAACAGATGCAATAATAGAAATGCCCCTCATGTATGCCAAGAAATTTGGAAGGGAGTCACCTGGCCACCTAACTGCCAGAGATCCCTACCCATGTCCACTCCGAAGAAAAGTGATCGAATATCATCAATATTACATGAAAATAAAATATTGTTGAAGAGAGTAAAACTAAAACAAAAGCAAGCAAACAAAAAATAGTTGTAGCACAATATCAACTGAGAACTGACAGAAGTTCCATCCAGATTTAGAATCAGATATGGAACACAGGATATCACTGCTGACATCAGATGGATCTTGACTGAAAGAAGAGATTAAATGAAAGATGCTTGTGTTTTATTAACCGTACAAAGGCATTGAACTTATAGATCATAAAAAATTATGGATAACATTGCAAAAATTTAGAAGTGCAGAACATTCATAACTTGTACATGGACCAAGAGAGAGTCATTTAAACAGGCGAAGGGGATACTATATGGTTTAAAAGCAAGAAAGGTATATGTTAGGGTTGTACCCTGTTACCATACTCACTCAACTTGTTTTTGCTGAGCAAATTATCTGCGAAGCTGGACTATATGAAGAAGAATATGGCATCGGGATTGGAGGGAGATTCATTAATAACTTGCAATTTTTAGATGCAGTGAATTATTTTATATGACTCTTCTAGCCATTGTCTTTGTAACTATCACCAAATGACTGAATGGAAACAGAGTATATGAAACTGTAAGACTGGTTAATTTTGCCATACCACTGAGGTTAAATGGGCTCTCTCAGTAGCAAGAACAAGGGATTTCACTGTCATCAAGCAGGAAGCCCCAGTGTGGAGTGCACCCTCTAGACCCCCAGATGTTAATTTAACCTCCTTCATCCAGGAGGGAGGTCTGGGACACCAGAGGAGGGGTGACAGCAGGGGCAGCAGTACCGAGAGCCAGAGCATGAAACAGAGTGGTAGATTTCACCGTTCCTGGAATCAGTAAAGCTCGGTGCACCTTCAGGCAAGAGACGTTCTTTAGGTGTGGGGTGCCTTAGAGAGGTGTTTAACAAGGAAAGCTAGACTTGCTGACCTGTGGAGTTAGAGCCCTGTGCTTTGGGGCTGAAGCTTATGGAAGAGTGGTATGCCCTTTGGGTATTATCAGTAGCGCTAAATGAGCTTTGTAGCGCTTTCCAAAGTAGGGCAGAGGCCAAGGGGCTACTTGCCTGTAAGCCAAGGACCCCATAGAGAGGAGTTGTGCTTTTAAGCATGCTTGAGGAGGTGTTCCTGAACATTTTTTATCAGGAATTACAGCCTGTTGAGGTCTCTAGTAAACCCTATAATTGTGAATATTGTTCTTCAGGTCTATGTGGCCATTGCAATGGATTATCAAAACCACGAGGACAGTAGAGAATGCTGTGGAGGGATGGTTGATGTTAGAACTGGTAAGAAAGTTGGCAGTTATGGGCTTCTCTGACCTTGGCCTCATAGGACTCTGCACTGTGCTGACGTTCACTTTGATTCTCCTTCCCCCTTGTGAAGTCA